GTAAATGCTATTACAGCTTGTTAACAAATCATCAAAGCTAATTAGTTAATATAGACGACCAGTTTTTATTATCGATTGAGCTAGTTTGTCATGAGGACTAATCAATATAACATTACGATAATGCATGTGAGCATTAATCAGAGGACTATTAGAATACAGTGTTAACATAAATATAAAATCGATCGAGAAAGTTGAAGTGGAAATAAGGATTAATAATATTAGGTTGCGTTTCTTTAGTTGGGCTCACCAATGTAGAATTATGGTCTACTATGATATTAGTACTGCTCTAATAATAGACCTAATCCTGAAATTGTAGATTTGTCATGATATAACTGCCTAATCTATAAGATCTTACGTGGAAGTCACACCATCGACTACACCAACTCACCGTATCGTAACAACTACCAATACATAATGAAGAACGAGCTTAGGCTAGAGAAAGAACAATATATTTAATATGAATAGAGACCACGCCTGCATGGCCGAGCCATGCCACTCGATCAACTCCAGTCCATTCAATTCATTGTTCGCGCCTTCTCCATTGTTAGGTATTTCTCCGCGTTAAATATTGAATATCTATTTTCTGAGTAGTCTCGTGTACACAGCTTTGTGGATTGTGTGGCTATTGTCCAATGCCACTACAGATTCACTCCAACTGGCTGGATCTATAATACATGTCCATGCTGAATCAAGCTTCACTGATCTTATTAATAGACGATCCATCGAAACAGAAATAGATGAGCGCTGTCGAAACGGTGAAAAACATCATAATTGAGAGTTTTCTAATTGTGAAGGTTCAGAGAGAAAAGATCCTCAAACCATTTTGGATAGTATAGGAAAGTGTTGCAGAATTAGGCGCATGCTGAAAAAATTCTGGCAGCTTACCAGGTGAAATTGCGGAGCTCGAAAACGTGATGAACACAAAAAACTGGTTTAATTGCCACTTTAAAAACGTGACTAACTTCGAAATAGCATGATAGTGAAATGTAACCGCTCTGTTTCCTGCTTTGTAGGTTTGATGAATTAATTCCTAGAGATGGTGGGGTTTCCATATACATGGAAACCGTCTTAACCACAGTAGCTCCCGCGATAGCTGCGCACGACTCAAAAGCATGCGAATCGGCGCGCTTCTGAACGAAATGGAAGTAGTCAGACATTCAACTGGTGGTTGTGTACCACAGTTCAAAACATATGGTGGATGACGTCATTCTAAATAAATCCTGATCAGAAGAGTTCAAAAGCACCCTCTGTACATTTTGGAAATCTGGAAGAAGAGTAATCGAAAACGTCGCCTAATTAGGAGCTGCTAGTAATCGCGATTGCCTTAGCTTTATTCCCGCACTTAAGAGATCTCATCAGATATGACCCACGAAACTTCTTATCTGTCTTAAGACTTATATTCACTCACGTTGTTATTGCTAGTCTGATGTGGGGGACTCTTTCAGCAAAACATGGTTGATGAAGCCAGTAGGCTATTCTGAGGGAAAAGAGTAAATAGAAGCATGGAACAACTACCGAGACGCAATAGTTACTCTCGCGGTTCTTCTTGATTCTGGTGCTCTTGGTATCACTTCTTGTTCCGTGATGGATAACCATTTGTGTGTGACGTAATGATGATTCATTATTCACTAACCGGTTGTCAGTTTTTCGTGGCATTCAGGGTATTGGCATTTCTTCAGGCTTCCGTATGTACTTGATTTCGCGTTTTCAGTTCCTCTGGGTGTTAATATTAATGTACTTGTCGTTACTTGGATTCACTTAGTATATCATGAGTTGGTGTGCTTTTTGAGTCCTCATGGAGTTTTGAAGGTCTTCTAAAGGTCATTTGAATACCTCCTGAGGTAACTACTCTGTTTATTAAATAACATAACTTTGGTTTTGTCATGGCGAATTTGCATTCCAAGTCTAGCCAGGTGGTTTTGGAGGGGAAGTGAGGGTTTTTGTGGTTTAACTAGATGTTCTTGTGGTGGAACATATGTCATCTACATACACAGTGTGCAGCAATGTCCAGATTGTGTTGTTGTTATCAATTAGTTTATTGTACGTAGTTATTCAGTCGATTGTGCAACTGAGAGTTTTTTTAAACGCGTGGTTGGCCTTATCTATTTCCTTGTCTTACTCTGTGGATGGTACAGTGTAAATATGGGTCTTCTTGGTGACCCTTGGGCTGATTCGGCAATTTAACAGTGGTTTTGAAGAAATTTGCAGTGTTTTTAGAGTCGGATTTTTGTAGATTGCCAAAATCTTTAGTAAGGTCAGTAAAGATAATTTTTAGTTCTTGATTGATGTTCAGGGTACATTATGTTTTGTGCCTTACCATCGTGATCCCATGTATAGTAAACAGATGTTTTCAAAATCGAAGTTGGGTCGGTCAAAGATTTTCCTGGTTGACTGTCTCAGACATTCACAGCTCATCCCAGCAAATGTCATTCCTATCGCATCAAGTGCAGTGAACGGGAAAACAAGTGAGGACAACCAAGTGTGTTTGAACACAAAATTACAGAGCATATTAATGAAATCTGAGAACCAGACGGTAAATAATTGATTTGCAAAATTTCAATCAAGTGTCTCAGACCTCACTGTTTCTTTGTTTCCACACCAACGATTCTCTATACTTGTTCTCTTTTCTTCGATCTTATTAACCTTCTGCCTCCAGACATTTCACTTCCAATCGATGACACACTACTTATATCTGTCCATATCGGGAGCAAACACAACAGGTTTTCTTGATTGCTTGTTTCAGACATTCACAGATCACTACAGTGAATGTAGCTACCGAACAGCCAATATTCAGTTGGAACAACGGACTGACGAACCCAAAATTTATTCGATTAGACCAGACCAAGTTCCTCTGTATAGCTCACAACGCGTCTTTGAGATACTCGTATTATATTATATCAAAACACAAACTCTGTGCTCAATATAAACGGTCCTAATTAAGAAAACAGAACAAATTACATCAAAAATACAAAATACCTCAAACGGTACAGCCTGTGCTATACAGTCAGAAGTTTCTCTAACGCAAAGTAGTGCGCTAAACAATGAAAGAGACAGTTAATACTAAAGGGTGTGATACCTGAGAATCAATACAAATATGCCCAACAAGATTGGATCAAACATCTATCGGCAGGGATTGCAGCAATTTTCCCAAGCAGACAGTCAGAAGGTTAATAGTCACAAACTGAACCACGCCGTGACCTTGAGCTTAGTCTAACACGACCTTACTGTCAATGGTCCGGTAACATGCAATAGAAAATTAGGTAACAAAAGATAAATCTTTAATCAAAATCACATAATAAAGGCCCAAACGAGGAAGACTGAAGAACAAAAGATATGTTTAGACGAGATCAGAACAAAGGTTAAAATACACAACAGGGAGAAGAAACAAGTAGATGACAATACTGTTCAACAAAGAAGCTGCAGAGGGATTTTCATCGTTTTTTTTCCTTTACAGTAAATGTCTTTCTTGTCGCATCAAGTGAGAATATGGTTTGATAGTTGTTGGGATCATTGCGTGAGACTTTTTTTCTGTATATTTTCAGGACGTCTTCAACTAACCACTTGGCTATAATTGCATCTGTGAAGGCATAAGAAAAAGGACTGCGGAAAAATATAAAAAGCATCAGCTCAAATAGAATCAAAAGATCAACAAAATATATATCTGGGCGTTTCAAGAAGAATAAATCACCACAGTGTGTACGCGGAGGGGTTTTCATACTCAAAATCTTCAGAGAGGATCTTATAAACCCATAGACGGTAGCCTAATTTTGCTTAGAACATGAACAGCTATTGTTGGACCTTGTTGATACCTGTTTTCCAGCCTCACAGTGATCTCGGGCTAGCAGTGGGTCACAATCTTGGACCATAGCTGACTGACGTGCAACCGTAGATCAGGGGTTCAGAACCCTATGATCTTTACGACGGGCACTTACCAAGTTGGATACTAATATGTTCACTACAGCATAAGCGACCTTAATGAGATCCAAACTTAAAAACTGCGTCCAGTCTTCAAGCTCCTAATCAAAAGGAGAATCGAATATCCTAGAAAAAGTACAGAGTGCAAATACTCGTGTAATTTCAGAACTCTGGAGTTTACTATACAAAGAGCGGCTTGGGAAGCCAGACCCCTCAACTCTGTTCAACCGCAGATTAATAGGTGATCTGATTCTGATTCGCGGGGCACGAAGAAGTGGTTTTGCATGTGAACGGATAAAGTGCTTGTGGCACATCGTTTCCACACCTCGTCACCAATTATCGGAACCTCTCGCTCGAAGACGTAGTGATGGCAATTTCAGCTGACTCATCCAATAAAATATGAGACACTCGCAGAAGATAGAAAATGACTGAAACAGACCGTAGGCCTTATGTCATCAATACACATCTGAAAATTTTGAATGTGGTTCAAATGGTTGTGGATGGAATAGAAGAAGCTTTTGCTTAACGGGCTTCCGGTCCTTGTAGCAGTGGATCACCAATACTCCCAGGCAGGAACGTAGGTATATTAACGATCATAGAGGAGAAAAAGAAAAGAAATTGGTAGATCATCGTAAGATGTTATCCTTAGTCCTTAAGAATAGGCCAAGTTTCCTCTTAAAGGACTCATGGGACGTCGCTTGGACTAGTTCAGTCGGCAGAGAATTCCAGCGTTTGACAACTCTCATGGAGTAGAAGTTGTGTCTACAGTCCTTTCTGCTGTTGTAACTCCAATTTCTGGGTGTTACCCCTTAGATTTGTATTATGACTAAGCTCAAGTAGGTGCTTAAGGGGATGTCCAGAAGTGTTAAGGATACTGTTAGCCATTAGAAGGCCACCTCTAAGACGCCTATACTCTAATGGGTAAATGTGAGGTGATTAGAGACGCTCTTCATAAGGTTAATGAAGAACAAACACAATTGAATTTGCGTCAGAAAATTAGGCAAAGGTCTTTTTTCCTTAAGGCTCTGTTTAAAACCACTTAAAGTTGTTCTTTTATGCTCTTAGACAGACTAAATATAGAGGTTGTAGGGTATGAATAAACGCGCACTGTTTGACATATGCGTAATTTCACTCACAAGTTGTTTGTGTAACATGTTAAAAAACCTACTTTACTAACCTGCAGTTTCGATTGTCAGATCATTTTAATCTCACTTTCGCAATACTGGTGATTTTTTTGATTACTTTGACTAATAAACACGTGCATCATGTGTACCTACTGAGTCGTCCGTTCACTGCTATTTTTTTCTTGACCAGATTATTTTTCATACGCTACTCTATACAATTTCCTTACATACTTTCAGGCTTCAAACAAGATTCCAGATACTCAAATCCCATTGGAAGATTTACTGTAGGCGTTTGCTGCCATCTGGTCACGTTGCATACCACACTTATAATTGTGTCATATCAGTTGATATTGAGTTGAAAAATGGCAAGTGGCATGATAACATTAATAGCCGAAAATCAAAGTTTTCTAGTAAGTTGTCTATTTTGCTCAATTTTCACGAATAAACTTCAGTAACCCCATAGTATTTGGATATGAATAGTTTAGTTTGCAGGCATACATGTAGGCTTACAATTGCGATTTATATAAGCCATAATCGCCATCCTTGTGAAATAGTCGGTGGCCGTTTTTGTTGGTGTTTTATAACCGAAAATTTATTTATTATGACGTTGATACCGTCTTGGATCTACTACCTAGAATCATTCTGTATCCCATCTGTTTGCTTCTTGTTAATCCTTGATCTTCGCCTAGCTTTTTTGTGCTATCATAAAATGCCTTGAAGGATCGTTTGCCAATTTCAAAGACGAATCAGTTAATACCCGAACTGATTATACTTAAACTCACTTTTAAGTAAGCGTTCAATGTCGATGTATGTAGCCATTGATGTAAATGTACTCACTCAATTATATGGCTGTTTGAATAAATCCTGCAAATCTTTTTTAATTAAAAATCAGACAGCTAATTATGGGCCAACAATTATCCAGGCATTGAGATGAGTTGAAACACTACAAATATCATCCGGATGAGACAGGGTTAAGTGATTTGCGGAAGAAGTCAGGTGATGGCTGATTAAAAGATAGTCCAGTCTATTGCTGGTTATCGAATTTCGTTTTGCCCCAAACATACTGGTGATAAATATCTTTCAATTAACATTGTGATGAAATGGAGTCCTTTCGTTGAGCAGACTAACGTCGTTCCTAATTTTATGGATTGTGGGTAAGAATTAGCTCATTTATTTATAAGTTCTAGTTGAGTTGTACTTGAATATGACTCATACAGTCTGTCAAAAACCAACTATCATCTAGTCACTACTCTGGACCATGGTACTTACTTGCGCTTGTTACCCCCAATGGAGCGTAGGCCGCCGACCAGCATTCTCCAATCCACTCTATCCTCGGCCTTTCTTTCTAGGTCTATGCGATTTTTGTTCATTCTTCCTATGTCTGTTTCCATTTCTCGGCGTAATGCGTTCTTTGGTTTTCCTCTTGCCCTTTGGCCTTGAGAATTCCAAGTGAGGACTTGTCTTGTGACGCAGTTGGGTGCTTTCTTCAATATGTATCCTATCCACTTCCAGCGCTTCTTCCCGATTTTTTCCTCGACTGAAATCGGGTTCTTTCTCTCCCACAGTAGGTTGTTACTGATAGTGTCTAGCCAACAAACCTGAAGTATTTTGCGTAGACAACTGTTAATAAACACTTGTATCTTGTGGGTGATGGTTTTCGTAGTTCTCCACCTTTCCGCCCTATATAGTAGAACACGGTAGATATAGTGGTATTGTAACTCATGCTTCAAGCACTCTAATACTTGAAAGTAGAATTTAAAATTAATCTAATACTACCCTAACACTCCCTAGAAGATACGTTATTTCATGTTAAGGTTGTTGATGCGTTGAGCAAAATTAGAAGTAATGTATACCACCAAATATCATCCTTACACTGAGTATGAAATCTTTCCAAACTTTCATGCGATAATAAGCGTAAATACATTATCTGTGTAGTTATTGGACTGTTTACCATGTGTTACAAGACGTTTTTAACGTTAGAGTGGAATTTTTGCATAAAATATATCGTGTTTTTTAAAATTGTCTATAACTTAATTTAAACGGTGTATTTATCTGTGAAAAGCGGTGTACGTTCTCATAAGTAGCAAACGTCTACTCATATAGCTTTACTTATAAGAAAATGATGAGTAGCTAGATTTCACCGAACTGATTCCTGTTTTACTAACTGTAAACATTAAGTCACAGTTTAATAGTTGCTTCTGGGGTTAGATGATTGAGATTAAGTTTAGTGCCGGTTCAGTATGAGCTGTCGAATGTTGTACATAAACAGACTACTCTTTTAAGTTAGTTGCACTCTTTAAATCAGTTCCATCCCATTGGTCATTCAATAATTAGTTTTCTGTTCATTTCAGGTACCTCGTGATGTACTAACTAAATCTAGTCTGTATTTTTATGCTGCTTTTGAGAGCGGGATGACTGAAAGCAAAACCAGCCAGTTCAGTTTTCCTAATTTCACTGCTCACCAGTTAGCTATGGTTGTTCAGTTTCTGCGACCGGAACTAACTATTCAGGATGATGCTTTAAACAACCATAGCAGTGGATTAAATAACTCTTGTCCAGAAACGCTGAAAATTTTAGAAGCTTTGGATTTGGCTGATGCAGCAGATTACTTTCAAATGCCCAAACTTATTCAAACTTGTATGCAGAGAATATCTCATATCATGAACGAGTTATTTCAACCTAAATCCATTCAACTTCATGAATCACATAGCTGCGATATATTCTCAATAATATTAAAAGAGTTTGCGAAAGTGTCCCACTGTGAAAATGGTTGTGTTAACAAACTTTTTTCTGAATACACCATAAAATACCCTCATTTTATCCTCAGACCATGTCTTTCAGATTCAAACTTACAGCATCTTCTTATTAATTTGGCTATAAGCTATTTGTCGAAAAGTGTCATATGCATACCAGACGAAGACATAATTTTAAATATTGTTCTTAGCTGGTTACAGATATTGAAACCAACTGAGTTTTATACAGAAAATACCGTTCAATGCTTTTTGCAATGCGTTCGTCCCGGCCTTCTTTCACTAGACGGTCAAGAAAAGTTATTAGATTATTGGCGCAACCAACATTCTGAGTTGAAGTGGTTTGGAAAGCTGACATGTGCAGATATGGAGGTATTTTTTAAAAGTATTCCAAATGGGGGAATCTTTTGCAAGTCTCCGTTAGCTTCTCAACTCCAGCTTTTGCTAGTAAAGCCTAGAGCCGAATCTCTGTGTTTACTTGGGTTAGCTCCAAGTCGTTCTAGCAACTCATTAGAATTTTGGCTTTTCAATCTTCACAATGGAGCTTATCATAACTACCCCATACCTGATAATTGTCTGCGGGAACTTGATCTGGACTCCTCTGGTGTTGGTGACATAGATCATCGCATTTACTTCTGTCCAGTAACGTACGGATCCGGTTCTTATCAAAGTAATTTGTTTGTTATATGTTTTGATCCAAACAATGCAACATTAAATGGCTTTGCTTGGTGTTTGGCTTCTTGTCGTGCAAAACTCATCCCTCGTTTGCTTCTTTCTCCCACGAACAACAGAAATGGTACTATCAATTCTTTCTGCTTCCGATCTAGACGAATCGGTGTAACTACGTTGTCCAGTGGTCTTTACATGTATTATCTTTCTTGTATACAAGAGGTCGCATGGTTGTGTGCATTTCGATTTGATCTGAGCACTTGGAACTGGTATGGGATGGAACCTTATTGTTTGTCTAGGAACCAGAATGGAATGATGTTATTTACACCAATCGAACAGTTAAATTCTATCCCACCTGACGACTGGGTATACGCTAATATTGAGACAGTTTCGTCGAATAACTCCAGACACCCACGTCACGGGCTTCATCAAACTTCAGCACTTCGGTCACAGTTCTTTCGATTTCGTCCGCGACCTGATGGAGATGCACTATTTGTAGAGAATCTACCTAATCCACCTTTCCTCATCAGAATGTACCGTTTGCTGGCTATCAGTTGCTCTCTGCAAGGTAACTTTAGTGGTAAGTTCTTTGTTTATTATTAAGTATTATTTCTGTTCATTTGTGACAGTTTGCCTAGATTCCCCTCACCTATTACCAGTATGTTTTAAAAATACTGATAAATTAAAATTTTCTCTCTACTAAGAAATACATTCAAAAACACCCGAAGGATGTTTGTCTTCCTTTCTGTTGTGTTGTTATCGACCTTCAACATTATTTTTGCTGATGTGTGATACTTGCATGATCATGCACGTTCATTTCAAGTTTTGAAAGCTTCTACTGAGTAGATCATATGAGATCAGATAATAATCTCCATATACTCACATGTTACATAAGTTACTTGTTTTACTGGTAAATCGTAAACTGACGATATATACCGCATAGTACTGAAACCATTTATTGTTTATTTAGGGAAAAGTTAATGAATGGGTTCTTACTCGAAAACCTTAAGATCTTATCATAGAATCCTGCCAGGTTGAACTGCTTGGTTGAGTTTGGTAACTTCTGGTACCTGTTACAGTCCATCTGAATCACTGGTTACAAATGGCTTGGTGTTTGATAAAAAATATGTGGTGGACGGTTTTCTGCTTAACAGTATGCAGGGCAACTTTAAACATCGGGTAACTGTCTTAGCAGTTTTGACCATACTTCCCCCACCTCGACCAGTTACTACCAATCTACTTCAAAAAGGAGGATATTCAGATGCGACTCCATCTTCTACAGTCCAAAATCTCTAAACCTCTTACCAAAGACAGAGGCAAGATTATTGGTCAAGGATCTGACAGTTCTTTTTGGAAAGGTTTACCAAATGGAATGTTCCATTACTTTTAATAATGCACTGATCTTCAAAATAGTCTTCTATGGATGTGATAAATATCAGGTTATACTTCTACCAGTCTTATATCGGATATTAGCTTTTGTTATGTCTGTTACAGATAGTGTAAAACATGTAGAAGAAAAATCGATTTTCATGGGGCAAACTAATTTTCGCTCAAATTGGGAATTTGTTTTACCTATTTTCACCATCCGAATATTGGACTTTTATCTCACCTGTTTCAAGCCAATAGTCCGTACTTTACAGTCAGTCACTTTACTCAAATTGTCTGTTAAAGAAACATATCATTGAAGTTTGGTAGCATTCTGAAAGCTCAAAAAAGAGATCTCTGATGAAACAGGGACATTAAATCATCTCTGTATGATTCTAGACACTAAGGTTTAGAAGGACTACCCAATCCTACTGGTTTCCTCCGATTTTTTCATCTATGATATGCTATAAGTAGCTCTAAAAGTATCACGTTTTATTAACACATTTCCGTTTTAGATAAGACTTATTTGTTTCCTATGGGGACTTGCTCTCGTGATTTAGAGGCTACACACTATTGTTTTGACACGTTTTCCTGCCAATGGCTTCGATGGAAACCGGTTCAGACGTCAGATATCGATGAGTTAAATCCCATTAGACAACATCCTTCTGAAGACATTGAGCTAACGTTTAATCTATGTCCTAAAATTCTTGGTTTTCGTGGTCTTGTTTGTGCTACACACATTTTGAATAGATTGGATGAAAACAAGTTATTATTATCTCGAGAAACTTATGTTCAGAACCCTGATGGTGTTAAATCAAACGATCATCCACTTTCCTCATCCGTAAATGATTCAAGCTATAATGGAAGCTTGAATTCTACAAATAAAAATAGATTAACAACATTGTTGGTTTTAGCTGGTAGACCGGATCAAACTAAACATGTGATATCTGGGATATGGTTTCATCACCCTCAAGCTTGTAATAGTCCGGACGAAACAATTGCATTATTCGATTCTCAAAAACCAAATTATTTTCTACCAACTGCAATCGCTCAAACCCTGGGACAATACCTTTCCCCAACAGCAGTTGTATTGGCTAACTGGACACATATTGTACAATCTGTAAATCCTATCACTTTTTTAACTAATTATTCTAAACAAGAAAACTGTGAACTCAACAAATTCTCATATATTTACGGAAACTTTCCTGAAAGCTCCAACTGGTCATGGGATAGTGACTAAACAACAAATTTTTCTTGTGATAAAAGATAAGTTAGTCCATAATTGCATTTTTTAAAATTGTATATTGGTTAGTGCAATATGCAAAGGAAGTCGTTGTATCATATATCACTTCATTAGATCCACTAGTTCCTCGTTTTCACAGTTATTCCCACTGTTGCATTTATTTTGTACTTCCAAGAGTTAACTTTTATATATTTTAATGTGCGTTAAGTTGATTGTTTATATTTTATGTAAGTGCCTTTATTTCCAGATTTAAAATTCCCAGTCAGTATTCTTGTAATATCTTATTTTATTTATCCCCCATTTAATATTACCCATATGTAAAATGTGTTCTGTGTCCTACATGATATATTTTTCATTATCCACACCTCATTTAAGTAAAAACTTTTGATAGTACAACCCACTTATTTGCTTTATCAGCTGTAGTTATTTTCTTAATAGATTTTAATTTCACCTTAATTTAAGAAAACAGTTTCAGAACCATTGAGTTGTAATATATTTGCCTAACCGATCGACATAGTTATGACAGTAGCATTAAGAGCCTCCATAGTATGAAATTTCAGTGTTCTCACCCCAAACTTTAAGTTTTCGTTGTAATTCTTATCATCAGGAGCCTTCATCTATGAATATAAACTATTGAGAAACTTACTGAAACAAATAATATACTCTAAACCGTCTGATTATATTCGTTTGCTTTTATGATGTTTAGTTTACCATCACGTACTAATTACGTTACGCTTACTGTTGTCAGTAAGTCACTTATATGCAAAGTAGAACCTGGAACACATGTGGATAAACTCAATTTACCACACCACATCATCACAGTGAAATGAAATCATAAAGAAAAATACAATAGTAGTAGAGATAGTAACGGTATTAATGGTAATGGAAAGAATTCGGCATTCAATAATGACCTAATGTAGATTGGTTCAGGATTTCGATAAAATACCAGCGTGGTAGAAGCAGATATTACCATTCGGAATTTTGAAACTAAAGATCTAAGGGAAGACAGGACCAATGTACCTGTGTCATTACAACCGATCCTAAACCATATCACCACGTCACCAATCATTGGTTTCGATAATCACGCGGACCCCAATCAGACAGTCTGCACCTACGTACAGAGCTCAGTTCGAAAATCAACGACTTCATTTACTGATGCCACCTCTTGATTTAGCCCTCCTTCAAATTACTTCCACACCAGGGAATATCGCCCATCGCGGTAAATGGTGGTTAGGTATACCTAGTATATATCTTAACCAACTCAGTCAATAAAGAATCACTACTTCGACAACCGGCTCACTATCCTTAACTAGTACACTGCATCTGACAGCATCGCTCACTCTAGCAATGCTTCTAAGGCACCTATGAACAAATGCCAGTAACCTACGAGTATCTTCTAATCAAAAAGACCACAATTCACTGTCATACAATGAAACAAAACAAACTGTTCAGCAACCTACACGTTGTTTGTTTATCAACCGAGCATCTCCCCCGCGCCACAGCTACCAAGTCAGGCGAGGTTAGTTGCAATTACTGTAGCAGCTGTTCAAAGTAAACTGTTGTCACTTTTAAAACCTAAGGCACTTCAATATAGCCTACTACTAAGTGTTTGTAGTGAATAAAAAGCTGTCCTTCATTTGTCTATATGATGGATAAGCTGTTACAACTGAACAAAAATCCTGTACCGAGTGATATGAAGAAGAGTACAAAAATCAAGGATGAGGATCTATAATACAGCGGAAATGGGCCACAAACTATGTCTAAATACATTGATTTTAACATGTTTTATTTATGCTGATTAATAGTCAGGTTTTGAGAAAACTAATCTTAGTTGAGCTTTATGTTAATCGGTAACTTGATTCCTAAACAAAATTCACAATATCATGAGATAAAACTCTCATAATTAACAAATATAACCGATCTAACTGTTCCAAAATGTAAGTATTTGTAGAAGGCTAGTGAAAATAGGAATAACTTTTCAATATGATTAATCCGATGTTCTTCATTTTTTCAAACCTAATATTCTCAGATGATTTAGTCCATTCAACAAGGTGTCACACTCTCTATTCGTGGTTATTTATGTAACACAGTCTAAATAACTGGATGTACTACCCAGAAAATACTGAGTGGAATGTGTATCATCCGTGTCACCAGGGCTCACGGTTGCAGACGTTCACATACATTTTATACAGTTAGATAGAGTAGATTAATGACTATCTTTGTAACAAATAGCGTTATTATCTTATGTGCTAGCACAATATACATTCTTTTTCTTCGGACATAACTATGCTAAACTTTATTGAAATTTTGATAGTCAAACGTAAATTGTGTTTCTAGGGGGATTACACAGTCATCCACAATTATAGTAGAGTATTTTTAGATGCCCAGAATGTAGAATGAATACTGTTTTCTACTAGTGATTTAGTTCTCATTAGTTCCCCTACTTACAAAATTTGTACTTATGTGCCATGATAGCACCAGAAAGATCAGCGTAGTGCTCCTTGTGTGGCAGTTCAACGTCATGTTCATATTCTTAAGGTCAGCGACCGATTACACATAGATTGAATGAGAATTTGAATAGCACTACTAAATGTATATTTAAGTAATTAAACCTATTATCGTGTACACTAATAAATGGAATCCGAATGGAATTGACCGTACGTTTGGCTAAAGTTGTGATAGCATTCAATCAACAACAGTTTTAGACTTTTCTGTAATTGTGGTAGACTTGAAACAATACTGGGATTTGCACTAACAACTATTAGAAGTGAAATAACACTGGTGTGATAGATCCCAGTGATTGTATTTGAATTGTAATAACGCAGTGGTGATGTAACAAAATAAGTCTACAATTGCATTAGACAGATCCGGCCTGCATTGAAGTTCAGTTTACTTGAACGTATGTGGTAATCAGAGTATCTCGGATGTTGATAGGTCACACGAATAATGAAATGAGATTACAAGTAGATAGACAGACAAGCAAACAAAGGTGTAATTAAAAGAAATGCTGGTAAGGTTTTAGTAATCACTCAGTTTAGCAGAAGTTAACCAATAGAATTGAATTAATATTTATGATAGTTACATGGTTGATCAAATCTTGTATTTCAAAGTGAGCAAAGAACTGTGTGAATTAGGCATGTTTATATCAATTACTAGATATCATCACTGCTTTTGTGTCATTTTAAAACTTATAAAAACTCATGTATACTATTTAAACGTAGCATGCAAGCTGAAGATATACTTAAATGAAAATGGAAATATAAATCGTCAACAGTGTAGTGAAGGCGACTGGGTTTAGTGTCATTATTTACGAAATGTATTTGTCTCATTCATGATCAACATAGAACCTAACACAAAGGAACGTTAGCTCAATGCTTCATACCGCATCAGCATGCGGAGATCAAATTACAAAGGTGAGTAGCTATGGTATCTAAATAACTTTAGAATCAAAAAATAGAAAGAAAAAACATTGGGAATGTAGTTAATAAACGAATGATGTTTCAAAAAATACTGAATCTAAAGATTCAGAGCAGAATAGAGCGTAAATCCGCTTGAGCCCCTGCGGTCAGTTCTAAGCTATCCCATTTGTTATCTCTAACCATCGATCGCGGTCATCTCAGGGAGCCCAACCAAATTGTCTGTTCCTATCAACACTGCTCAAGTGATAGTTTCATGGACTAACGCCGTGTCTTGGTTTGGTCGCTCCTAGCATTTTTCAACCTAACTCTACTCCAGCTAGGACTGAAATTCAAAGTGGGCATGTTATGACTGCGTCACCAATTGTTATATCGGAGTCACTTATTACTTATACTTGTAAAAACGAGGAGCCACCGCTATTCCCAAGACGCGAAAGTAAGAACACAAGGACTGGTACAAATGAAGGTTTATTAGCCCCAAAACACGACGACCCTAGTCGAAAATACACTCATTTATATATTGATTAATAATAAGAATTAAATCATTTGAAAAAAATATTTAAAGTTATAAAAAATCAACGCTAAATGTCATACTAAACATAGTTTATGTTGGTTCAATACAAGAATATCGTATGTTATACTGAATAAATTATCTTACTCGAAAACAAAGCAAAGATTACACTACGTAATTATCACATTGAATAGAAAACGGAAGTAAAGTTGACCAAAAATCACAATGAATAAAAGAATCTACTTTTAACTTTTCATCCCGTCACATCAGGGCAATGGTTAGATATATATAACGGAAATACTGTCTACCTCAGTTGACAAAATTTCAGTTCCTTATTAGTCGATCATTCATTTCTCACTAGTACTCTATGCCTAATTTCAGCACTGTCTACCGAATTATCCCATCATGGGTGATTAATACTTCGAAGACACCTGTTATAAAAAATATTTGGAGTCAACTAATATTTTTACTTTCATATCCATAGAGCAACGTAAAATCGATTACTATCCAGTATCTTTTCAAATTATTTCCTAGAAGACCAAACTCCACTATTTGCGTTTAATATAAGTCGATGGTAAGAACTAGCTTCAAATATGCATTTGTTTAGACTTTTTGTTACAAATAAAGTGATTGTTAACATCTTCAGTTTTAGAGAATAACATCAGTGTTAGAAATATCTACCTACTAATAACCTTTAACTTTATAACGGTTCTGCTGAGGCTATTAATAACATATACAAGAAGTTATTATGGTAATCCATGATGTCATCGTTCTACTGTCCGATTTAGATAAGCATAAACTCTTCTTAGCCCTTATCGCACCAGCTATGATTTATTTTGAAGAAAAACTGGATAATATTTCACACAACTCGTGTATTTCTAAGTTACTGGACTTATTAAAAGAAGTAAGTGAAAGATGGTCGGCTCTGGTTGAGTGAATATTTTAATTATTAGCAATACTCCGTTCATAATTCTATCTTATCTAAAGCGAGGTCCTGCGACAGCATACAATCTGTTCAGTATCCGCTAATATACCACCTCATGCTCATTACAAATCTTTTCATTTATTTATGTAGATGATGTTGGGAGATGTCATTTCTTATATATATATATATATATATATATATATATATATATATATATATAAAACCTACTTTTATCGCTTTTAGCAGTGAAGTTATGAAATATGTGATTCTTCATATTACTAGTATTTAATTGTCTGTGTGCTTATTCCCCAAGTTCAAGTTAATTGACTGGAACGTAAAATACAATTAACCTTAGCCTCCTTATTTGACATTTTTTTAAAGAAGTATGAACCAACAATCCAACTACCGTTCAATATTCCAACAATGTTTTAAGATGATAATCTTGGTTAGATTAGCATCTCATGCATAAATAACCGTGTCAGGGGTGAAATAGTTATTGCCAAAGTAAATGGTCTTGAAATGTAGCGAATCTTTTAAAGT